AACTCCTGACCTCAGGTGATTTGCCCTCCTAGGCCTCCCAAAGTGCTGGGATTACAGGCGTGAGCCATCGTGCCTGGCCTTTTTTTTTTTTTTTTTTTTTTTTGAGATAGAGTTTCACTCTTGTTGCCCACTATCTTGGCTCACTGCAACCTCCTTCTTCCAAGTTAAAGTGATTCTCCTGCCTCAGCCTCCCAAGTAGCTGGGATTACAGGCGCACGTCACCATGCTCAGATAAATTTTTGTATAGTTTTAGTAGAGATGGGATTTTTTCTGAATATTTTTGATCTGGGGCTGGTTGAATCTGGAGTATTTTTGATCTGCAGTTGGTTAAATCCAAAGGTGTGGAATCCGTGTATACAGAGGGCCGACCATACTGAGCCAAAGGACACAAACATTTTTTAAGCCTCTCAAGACCTCTTAGCAAATTGCTTTCCAGAGAGGTTATGCAAACAATTCTATAGTGAGCCTATCTTAAAAGCATTTGTCTATTAGCTTTAAATTATTTTGACAGGCAGTAATTGTATGGTTGAAATATTTTTATGTTTATAGGCCATTTTATGTCATGATTGGCTGAATATGAGCAACTGGTATCTTTTTTTTTAATACTTTTTAAGAGCTCTTTAAATATCAAAAACATTGATCCTTTCCCAAATTCCTCACCATTTCCCCCCAACTTACTGACTTTTGATATTTTGATGTGCTCTGAAGTAGATGTATTTGTAACTGTTTTTTTTTTTGTTTTTTTTTTTTTTTTTTTTTTGAGATAGGGTCTCACTCTGTCACCCAGGCTAGAGTGCAGTGGTGCAATCTCAGCTCACTGCAACCTCCACTTCCCGGGTTCAAGTGATCCTCCTGCCTCAACCTTCTAAGTAGCTGGGATTACAGGTGCCTGCCACCACGCCTGACTAAATTTTTTGTATTTTTAGTAGAGACAAGGTTTCACCATGTTGGCCTGGCTGGTCTCGATCTCCTGACCTCAGGTGATCCACCTGCCTCTGCCTCCCAAAGTGCTGGGATTACAGGTGTGAGCCACTGCGCCGGGCGTATTTGTAACTTTTATGTGGCCAGATTGTTTTTGGGTGTTACTCCTGTCGTTCCATGCTTTCAAAGTCCTTCCCTGTTGAAGACCAGGTGAATATGGACCAAGTTTTCTTCTTTTTGACATTCAGGACTGGGCGCAGCGGCTCACACCTGTAATAGCAGCACTTTGAGAGGCCGAGGCGGGCAGATCACTTGAGGTCAGGAGTTCAAGACCAGCCTGACCAACATGGTGAAACCCTGTCTCTACTAAAAACACAGTAATTTGCTGGGCATGGTAGCAGGTGCTTATAATCCCAGCTACTCAGGAGGCTGAGGCAAGAGACTTGCTTGAACCCAGGAAGAGGAGGTTGCAGTGAGCTGAGATTGCACCACTGTACTCCAGCCTGGGCTACAGAGTGAGACTCTGTCGAAAGAAAGAGAGAGAAAGAGAGAGAGACGGGAAGGGAAGGAGGAAGGGAGGAAGGGAGGAAGGGAGGAAGGGAGGAAGGGAGGAAGGGAGGAAGGAAGGGAGGAAGGAAGGAAGGAAGGAAGGAAGGAAGGAAGGAAGGAAGGGAGGAAGGAAGGGGAAGAAAAGAAGGGGAAGGAAGGGGAAGAAAAGAAGGGGAAGGAAGGAAGGAAGAGGAAAGAAGGAAAAGGAAAGAAAAGGAAGGAAAAGGAAGACAGACATTCAGATGCCCAGGGTTTCTCTGCCTGTGATTTGAGAGCTGTCTGTGTTGGAATCACCTGGGGAGATTGCTTAAAATCCAGTTTTCTGGGCCTCACCCTAGAAAGAGTCTCTGAGAGGAAGCCGCAGTTCTCCCCATTTTTAGCAAGTCTCACATGTGGTTTCAGTGAAACACTAAAGTTTGAAAACCACTGCTCAAAAGAATGATAGGACACAATTTGAAAAAGAACACAATCTGATTCCCTCCTCCTACGAGCCAATTTCCCCAGCAGCAGCCATTTGGCAATAATCCAATTCTTCCAGGATGGTCTATGGGAAGAATTTTCTCATGCTTGAACTTCTTAAAGCTGGGATTCGTTGGCAGGTAACCAGCTCTTGGTCTCAAAATGTCCAAGCCCAGGACTGTTGGTGTCTTGGGATCCCATGGTCCAGCTGGAAGGTTGGATGAAACGACATTTCATAAGGTACCTGAACTAGTGCTTTTTATTTTTTCTCCAAATGCCCTTGAAGGTTCTTCTCCAGCTAATATAGAACCTATGAGAAAAGTGCTTTGAAGGTACAGGGTCAGGATGGAGTGAGCTTTCTGTATGGTAAAAAGCCAAGAAAGGAGAAACAGCATTCTGGTACTTACCAGCAGCCTGAGGTAGCCATGCTGTTAAGCGCAATGCCCTGTGTCCGGTTGATGGCCCCAGCCCTGCCCAGAGGAGGCTGGGAGCTCCCAAGATACCCAGATGCTGTCTGCAAATGTTGATTGGTGGCCAGGTCATTGCCACACCAAGCAACTGTTCCAATCACCCTCCTCCCCGAGGGGTGTGACAAAATGTCTGAGCTAGATCAAGCACGACAGGTGCACAGCAGGCAGGTGACGGGGGACAGAAAAACATAGAGCCCTCGAAGACACAGCCAACAAGCCAGAGAACTGCACCCTGGGCATAGAAGGCAGTGCTCTCTCCAGCGCCTCCCAGGAGGTGAGACAGGGTTAGGGCAGCCCTCCTGCAATGCCCGGTCCAGCCCCATCGTGCAGAAGGAATTCCGAAGTCCAGGCAGGGGGAGTTGGTGGTCACGGTGGAGCAGTGCCCGGCTTCAGCACGTAGGATTTGCCATTACGCTAAAGCAGCGGTTCTCAAAATGTAACCCCAGGACCAGCAGTATCTGCCGTATCCGGGGACTTGTTAAAACTGCAGATTCTAGGACCTGGAAGCTCTGGAGGTGGGTCCACACTCTGCATTGATACAAGCCCTCCTGACATGTGTTCAAACCTAAGAACCACTCACTTAATCCTCTGCACTGGGGAAGATTAATGGAATACTTTAGCTTGCTTCGGAAAGAGTGGTAAAGACAGAGAATAGAGAGGCATGAGTGTGTGAGGCTCCCCGTGCACTGCCCTTGATGGAATCTAAACCTCATGGCCTGGCATTTGGGGCCCCACGTGGTTCCCCAGCCCACCTTCTCAGACCGTTCCGGGGGTTCCGCCTGCTCCAGCCGAACTGCAAGTCCCTACTCCAGCATTTCTGTCGCTCTTCTGTAGTGCAGCCTCTTCCTTCTGAAATCCCACTCAAGCCCTACCTGAGGTGCCCTCTTTCCTCTGAAGGTCTATGAGATAAGAAACTCGAAACAGCGGCTCCCTCCTGGTTCTCCTTTTAAAATACACTACTCGCCGGGTACGGTGGCTCACACCTGTAATCCCAGCACTTTGGGAGGCCAAGGCGGGTGGATCACCTGAGGTCAGGAGTTCGAGACCAGCCTGTCCAACATGGTGAAACCCCGTCTCTACTAAAAATATAAAAATTAGCCAGGCATGGTGGCACGCGCCTGTAATCCCAAATTGGGAGGCTGAGGCAGGAGAATCACTTGAACCCGGGAGGTGGAGGTTGCAGGGAACAGAGATTGCGCCACTACATTCTAGCCTGGGTCACAGAGCAAGACTCAGTCTCAAAAACAACAACAACAACAGAAAACAAACAAAAAACACCCCAAAATATAACCACACTACTCTTAAAACCTGGCCACAATCAGCCTTCCCTCTTCCATGTACCTTTCCTGTTTAGCTCCCTGGCCAAGCCTGACTCATCCCCTACCCGCTCCCGGCAGCACCTGGAGTCAAGCGGGCTCTCGGGGTTCTCAGCTGACAGTCAGCATCTTTTCTTTTCTAAAACTCCCTTTTGAAAGTCCATGTGCTGACTCACCACTGTTTACAGCTCAGCAGCTGCTCTTAACTTTCTGCCTTTACCTAGATAAATTAACAGCAGCTGACCTCTAGAGCCGAATTATTTTGGGGACTGTGGTGGTTGCTAGAATGATTTTACCCCAGTGGCACAATGAAAGCAAGCAAGTGCCTTCTGTGCAGACCTGGCTCTTCCAAACTTGACTTAGAATGTCAGACTGGAGTGGGGGGCTTAGACTTCCTCACCACCGCCCCCTTTTTTTTAAAGACAGGGTCTCGCTCTGTCACCCACACTGGAGTGCAGTGGCACAGTCATGGCTCACTGCAGCCTTGACCTCCCAGGCTCAAGTGATCCTTCCACCTCAGCCTCCTAAGTAGCTGGAACCACAGGTGTGTGCCACCATGCCTGGCTAATTGTTTAATTTTTTATAGACAGGATCTCCCTATGTTGCCCAAGCTGGTCTCGAACTCCAGGGCTCAAGTGATCCTCCTGCCTCTGCCTCCCAAGGTGCTTGGGATTCCAGGTGTGAGCCACCGTGTCCGGCACTCTCTCCCAATTTTACAGGTAGAAAAACCAGCCCAGAGAGGCGCCTTGCCTTGCCAAGGTCTCCCTGAGAGTACCAACCATTCCAGGTAGCTCAGACACCTGCAGGATAGGCAGAAGGTACCAACCTGGTACTCAACTTCTGGAAGCCAGTGATGAGATGCCCCGACACATTCAGAGCCCCCATTAGCTCTGCAGACTGCTGTGGGCAAGGTGAACTCCCATGCATCCCACGGCCCTGGTGGCTGTTTACAGTGTCCTGTGACTGGGACATTCCCAATAGCCAAGTGTTCGTCCAAAGCTCCTCAGTCTCAGGAACCCACCATGAAAGTGAAAGACGCAACCCCAGATCCCAGGTAGGGAGTCTTCAGCCCAGGGTCTTCCAGCCTGGCCACTGCCCCCAACTCAGGAACCTGCCTCTCGCTCCCCGATCCCACGCAGGCCTTACCTGGATCCCTGCCAATCTCCCAGGATGGGGACCAGCACCCCCAACCCCAGCTGAGCCCAGGACCCTGCCCACCCCCTCAATGCCCCAGACTCTCTCCCACTGGCTTGGAGGTGTTGGTGGTGAGAAAAGGAGGCAGGCAGGTAAGAAGAGGTCGTGATGCTACGGGGCCTGCAAGGCGTAGGCCGGTCAGTACAGGCTGGAGCACTCTGAAGCATGGGGTCTGGGAAAGGGGGTCCTGGGGGTGGAAACCCAGCTCCTTGGACATTTCCTGAAGGGTTTGGGGTGTCTTCTGAGCCCCTGGTCCCTGAGGCTGTTCCAAGACCAGCACACTCTGGGTTCCGTGAGCAATGCGATCAGTCTTACAGTCTCCATTTTGTCCAACATGAAGTCCTGGGAGGGAAAATAGATCTCTCACCTGACAGTGTTTTGGCCTCTGGACGCTACTTCCTAGGGACCAAAGCATCATCAAAGGCTGACCTACTTTAACTCTCACAAGGGCCCTGCAAAAGATGTGGTATCAATGCCACTGGGCAAATGAGCAAACAGAGGCTCAGAGAAGTTAAGTGACTTGTCTGATGTGGCACAGCCAGGAGTGACAGAGCTGGATGACTAGGAGTCCAGATCCTGGTGTAATTTCCTGAATGTGGTTGCCTGCCTTTTCTCACTGCTCCTCCAAGAAGCCCACCCTGACTGCCCCCAGCCTCCCTCTCTGAAGGGCATTCATTTCTTAGGGACCAGATGAGCCTCCATCTCCTGTTGCCTAGCAGAATGCTGAGCACATTCAGGTGGCTCAATTCATGTTGGCTGAGTGACTGACAGACGTCAATCCAGAGGCCCAAACTGATTGTTGCTTGGGACCCTGTGACATCACCACATAATTTCTTCCTTTTTCTTGGGAAGAAGATGAAATTAAAACACTGTGACTATTTAGATAAATGTGTCCTTACTCAGAAATCTCATTTCTTTGCGATATGAATAAGTTACAAGCTGTATATAACTAGGGATGCCAATTACACAGACTTCAACTGAATGGTGCCCACTGAGTTGTGCCATACAGCGGCCTCGATACTGCCTGTGAGGTTCCTGGAGAAGACCTTCTTAACTGAGCCACAGGCTTGCTCACTGCTGACTGTGGCACTGGACACTAGGGAAGAGACCTGCCCCTCAGTGTCCCTGGGGAGCTAAGTGTCCTGTGTTTGGACATCTGCACTGAACCTGCCTCAAATGAGGTAAGCACGTTCTGACTTAGGATGAAGTCAATGCTAAAGGTGGCAGACAGGAGAGTATGGAAAGGATGGGTCTTTGATGATGCCACTGAGCCTAGGATCACACCATGCCTGAAACCCACCAGGCACCAAACTTCCACTCATGACACAAGATGTGCCCTGGTAGAGGAGCCAAATGACCTCAGAAAAGAACAAAGTGGGAAGACTCACTCTTCTCAATTTTAACATTTACTACAAAGCCACAGTAATCAAGACAGTATGGTACTGGCATAAAAACAGTCATAGAGATGAATGGAATAGAATCGAGAATCCAGAAATAAACTTTCATATTACAGTCAACTGATTTTTGACAAGGGTACTGAGAAAATTCAAAGGGGGAAAATAGAACTTTTTAAACAAATGGTGTCAGGACAACTGAATATCCTCATGCAAAATAATGAAATTGGACGCCTACCTTACATTAAAAAATCAACTGAAAATGAATCACAGACCTAAACAGTAGAGCAAAAACTATAAACTTCTCACAAGAAACAGGTGTACATCTTCATAACCCTGGATTAGGCAATGTCTTTTTAGATATGACACGTAAAGGACAAGTACATACACATACCCAAAGTAAAACTATTGGATTCTTGGCCGGATGCGGTGGCTCACACCTCTAATCTTAGCACTTTGGGAGGCCGAGGCGGGTGGATCGTTTGAGGTCAGGAGTTCAAGACCAGCCTGGCCAACATGGCCAGGTGTATTCTCTACCAAAAAATACAAAAATTAGTCACGTGGGGTGGCGGCGCATGCCTGTAGTCCCAGCTACTGGGGAGGCTGAGTCAGGAGAATCACTTGAACTCAGGAGGCGGAGGCTGCAGTGAGCCAAGATGGCACCACTGCACTCCAGCCTGGGTGACAGACGGAGACCCTGTCTCAAACAAACAAACAAACAAACAAAACAAACAAATTGGATTCCATCAAAATTCAAAACTTCTGTGCTTCAAAGGACACCATCAAGATAGTAAAAAGATAACATGCAAGATAGGAAATATTTGCAATCACATATTTGATAAGGGACCTATATCCAGAACGCAAAAAGAATTCTTACAACTCAACTAAAAAAAGACAAATAGGCCGGGCACAGTGGCTCATGCCTGTAACCTCAGCACTTTGGGAGGCCGAGGCAGGTGGATCACTTGAGGTCAGGAGTTTGCGACCAGTTTGGCCAACGTGGTGAAACCCCATCTCTAATAAAAATACAAAACTTAGCTGGGTGTGGTGGTGCATGCCTGTAGTTCTAGCTACTCGGGAGGCTGAGGCAGGAGAATCGCTTGAACCCGGGAGGCAGAGGTTGCAGTGAGCCAAGATGCGCCACTGCACTTCAGCCTGGGCAACAGAGTGAGACTCCGTCCCAAAAAAAAAAAATCAAATTTTTTAATGGGCAAAGAATTTAAATAGATATTTCTCCAAAGGAGAGATACACATGGCCAATAAGTGCATGAAAAGATACTCAACATCATTAGACATCAGAGAAGTGCAAATCAAAACCACAATGAGATGCCACTTCACACCCATTAGGAGGGCTAAATTAGAAAAGATTGACAATAGCAAATGTTGGCAAGGATGTGGAGAAATTGGAACCGTCGTACATTGATCATGGGGATGGTAAATGGTGCAGCCATTTTGGAAAAGAGTTTGGCAGTTCTTCAAATGCTAAACATAGAGTTAACAGATGACCCAGAAATTGCACTCCTAGGTATGTGCCAAAGAGAAGTGAAAACATATCTCTGCATAAAAATTTGTACACAAATGTTCATAGCAGCAATATTCATAATACCTAAGGAATGTAAACAACCCAGATGTCCATCAGCTGATGAATGGATAAACAAAAGTTCTATCCATACAAATAGGCCCATACCATGGAATATGCAGCCATAAAAATAAAGCACTGATTCGTGCTAGGGCATGGATGAACCTTGAAAACATTATGCTAAATGAAAGCAGTCAGATGCAGTGTATCTTTTTGGGAGTGATGAAATGTTCTGGAATTAGACAGGGGTAATGGCTGTGCAATTTTGACTATACTGAAGACACCAAAGTGCATAATTGTAAGGGATACATTTTATGGTATGTGAATTATATCTCAATAAAGTTATTATTTTAAAAAGACACGCTCTGTTGTCAAAGCCAATCTGATCACGTTTTCTGTTACTGCAGTAACAGTATCCTGACTGATGGGGCCGATGAGGAGAGAAGCCCAGTGGACTTACAGTGTGAAGTTTAAGATGAGGACCCTGTGCAAGTGGCTCCCTCAGTCACTGAAATGCCCGCTGCCAGCGTACTCATATATGTAAGAGTGTGATCATACCTGTTTGCATCTTTGTGCGTGCAAGTTGATGTTTGTGTGCTTGTTTGCAGGTTTGTCTGTGTGTGTCTCATGTGTGTTGGTGTGCAGAAAGCACATGTGGATGTTGATGGGTATATACTGTGTGTGTGTGTGTGTGTGTGATGTGTCAGAGTGGAGCTACATATAAAGACCAGGTGGGAAGTTCCTCTATGCACCCTCTACACTGACCCTTCACCTAGTGGGTGCTCAGGTTTGTTGGGAGACTAATAGAGACCTTAGGACCTTACTGCACCAGGCACCCATGTAGCTATGGAAAGAAGAGCTGATGGGGGGCTAAACACAAATGCAGCCTGAGCTACGGAGCAGGACTAGCTCAAGTTGGAGGCTTGCCTTGGGCCATCAGGAGCCCCGCGGCCATCTGTCTATCCTTACCTTAATCAGATTGAGCTTGGAGAAGAGATCCATGCTCTTGGGCATGCTGTGGGCAGAGGGGCAGCACTGCCGGGCCATGTTGGTGATGGTCATTTGCATGTAGCTGAGCAGCTGATCCTGCAAGAAAGAGAAGGAGGAGGCGGCTCAGGCTGTCTCCCAGCATCCCCTGCCCCTGCCCCAGCCCCAGCTCACTCCAGCCAGCAAAATGTCGTGGACAGAGCTGGGACGCCGGGAGTGTCCTTCTCATCATGGTCTGTATTCCTCTCCTGCGGGGCTTGGTTGAGTTCCTCCCCACCTCAGAGCCTCAGCATCCTCCCCTGCAAAGAGGGAGGTTGGACTAACTCCTTTCAGAAGGGTTTCCTGGCTGGAGGCATCAGGGTCCACACCTCGTTAGAATCTGAGGACTGGGAAGGGGCATGGAGTGGGGTCCTGGACTTCAGACCTCCAGGATCCTGGTCTGCTGCAGCAGCTTAGAGAGAAAGACCTCAAAGGGGCTCTGTAGACTGTGACCCCCCCCCAGCTCCCTCCCTAAGCCCCTTGCCTTGGAAGCCTCGTCTTCAAACTCAGAACCCCCAAGGCCCAGTCAGTCTGGACCTGAGCAGGCCTCACACTCACTCCATGACCTCATCCTGTGCAGAGAAGGTGTGCCCAGTGCAGCCCTGTGCCCAAGCCATGGTCCCAAGTGTCCTCCCGCAGCCCCTGAGGTCAGAAGAACATAGACTATTGCCTCCGTTTATGGTGAGGAACCGGGGTCCAGCGGTGACCAGACCACATTCCCAAGGCCAGCAAGGGGCAGTGCAAGAGCTGAATTCTGGAATCCCTGGAATTCATGGCCATGGACTTTGGCCATGACTTGTTCTTTCTGAGCCTCATTTTTCTCATTTGTAAAATGAGTGTGAGTAAAATTCACCAATATTCAAGAACACCTACTCCAGGTCAGACTCTGTGCTAAGCACTGCCTGGAATGATCAGAGACACACCAGGGTTGCTGAAGACAGTGCATAATAACCACTCACTTAAATGCCATTATTTTATTATTAACCACAAACATTATACAAGGACTAAGTGCTCGGCACAACACAAAGCCCTGGGACTGGGCCAGTGGATCCCGGCTCCGGTTCTTGGCAGAGCTCGGTCCTGAAGTATCTGTGGCCTCAGTTTTCCCATCTGTAAAGTAACATTTGACCCCTCTAAGAGAGGTCCTTCGAAAGTAAACTGCCACCAAGGAGAAGTAAGTGGTGCAGGTACGTCTGTGTGTGTGTCTGTCTCTATGTTTATCTCTGCGTATGTCCGTGTGTCTGTACATGTGTGTGTCTGTGTGTGTGTCTGTACATGTGTGTGTCTGTGTATGTGTCTGTACATGTGTGTGTCTGTGTGTGTGTCTGACTGTGTCAGTGTTTCTGTGTGTCTGTGTGTGTCTGGCTGTGTCTGTCTCTGTGCATTTGTGTGTATGTGTCTGGCTGTGTGTGTTTGTCTATATGTCTGGTTGTGTCTGTGTCTGTGTGTCTGTCTGGCTGTGTGTGTGTCTGTGTGTGTGTGTGTGTGTCTGTGTCTGTGTGTGTCTGTGTGTCTGTGTGTCTCTGTGTCTGGCTCTGTGTGTGTATGTGTCTGTGTGTGTATGTGTCTGTGTGTGTGTGTGTGTGTCTGTGTGTGTGTGTCTGTGTGTGTGTGTCTGTGTGTGTATGTGTCTGTGTGTGTGTGTCTGTGTTTGTGTGTGTCTGTGTGTGTGTGTCTGTGTGTGTGTCTGTGTGTGTGTGTCTGTGTTTGTGTGTGTCTGTGTGTGTGTGTCTGTGTGTGTGTGTTTGTGTGTGTCTGTGTGTATGTGTCTGTGTGTGTGTGTCTCTGTGTCTGGCTGTGTGTGTGTCTGTGTGTGTCTGGCTCTGTGTGAGTGTGTCTGTGTGCGTGTATGTGTCTGTATGTGTCTGTGTCTGTGTTTGTGTGTGTGTGTGTGTGTGTCTGTGTGTGTGTGTGTGTGTGTCTGTGTGTGTGTGTCTGTGTGTGTGTCTGTGTCTGTGTGTCTCTGTGTCTGGCTCTGTGTGTGTGTGTCTGTGTGTGTGTGTGTGTGTGTCTGTGTGTCTGTGTGTGTGTGTGTCTGTGTGTGTGTGTCTGTGTGTGTGTGTGTCTGTGTCTGTGTGTGTGTGTCTCTGTGTCTGGCTCTGTGTGTGTGTGTCTGTGTGTGTGTGTCTGTGTGTGTGTGTGTGTGTGTGTGTCTGTGTGTGTGTGTGTGTGTCTGTGTCTGTGTGTGTGTATGTGTCTGTGTGTGTGTGTGTGTGTGTGTGTGTGTCTGTGTGTGTGTGTGTGTGTCTGTGTGTGTGTATGTGTCTGTGTGTGTGTGTGTGTGTGTGTCTGTTTGTGTGTGTCTGTGTGTGTGTCTGTGTGTGTGTGTGTGTGTCTGTGTCTGTGTGTGTGTATGTGTCTGTGTGTGTGTGTGTGTGTGTGTGTGTCTGTGTGTGTGTGTGTGTCTGGCTCTGTGTGAGTGTGTCTGTGTGCGTGTGTGTGTCTGTATGTGTCTGTGTCTGTGGGTGTGTCTGTGTGTGTGTCTGTGTGTGTATATGTCTGTGTGTGTGTGTCTGTGTGTCTCTGTGTCTGGCTCTGTGTGTGTGTGTCTGTGTGTGTGTGTGTGTGTGTGTGTGTTGGGAGTGATGACGGAGGCATCAGCTTCCCCCTCCCCACCCCTAGCCCCACCCCCAGGCTGAAAGACTGGACTCACACTATAGCTGCTGCTGGTGTGTGTGTTTGCGTCGAAGTCAATGTCCTTCTGGTAAGTGATGCTGTGCTCCAGCTTCCACCACTGCTCCTGCTTGCGGTGACACTTCTTCTGCAGCTGATATAGCCGGATCTTGAGGCTCTGACGCAGAGGGAATGGGTCGTCTTGGTACAACAAACCCTCCAGGGCATGTGCCCTGGTCTGAGTCCCCAGGGTAGTATGTGCAATGACAGGATAGGAGGAAGGAACACTTCTGGGTGGCTGGGGCCATTCAAGGCACCAGAGATGCAGAAAAGGGCATGTCCAGGCTGGTGGAGTTTACCCGAGCCCCAGTTCCTGATGATTTTATAAAGGGGAGTTCCCCTACACAAGTTATCTTGCCTGCCACCAGGTAAGACATGCCTTTGCTCCTCCTTCAACTTCCACCGTGATTGTCAGGCCACCCCAACAATGTGGAAGTGTGAATCCATTAAACCTCTTTTTCTTTATAATTTGTTTTTTTTTTTTGAGACAGAGTCTCACTCTTTTTGCCCAGGCTGGAGTGCAGTGGTGCAATCTTGGCTCACTGTGACCTCCGCCTCCTGGGTTCAAGTGATTCTCCTGCTTCAACCTCCCAATTAGCTGGGGTTATAGGCACGCACCACCATGCCTGGCTAATTTTTGTATTTTTAGTAGAGATGGGGTTTCAGCATGTTGGCCGGGCTGATCTTGAACTGCTGACCTCAAGTGATCTGCCTGCCTCGGCCTCCCAAAGTGCTGAGATTACAGGCATGAGCCACTATGCCTGGCCCTCTTTTTCTTAAAAATTACCCAGTCTCAGGTGTTTCTTTATTAGCAGCATGAGAAGGAACTAACATATGCTCCCAGCCAGGCCCTGTGGGATAGGAATTTGAAAGATACAGAACAGGCTGGGTGTGGTGGCACACGCCTGTAATCCCAGCTACGCAGGAGGCAGTGGCAGGAGAAACGCTTGAGGCTGGGAGGCGGAGGCTGCAGTGAGCTGAGATCACGCCACTACACTCCAGCCTGGGTGACAGAGTGAGACTCTGTCTCCCAAAAAAAGGAAAGAAAGAAGGAAAGGGAGAGAGAGAGAAAGAGAGAAAGAAAGAGAAAAAAAGAAAGAAGGAAGGAAGGAAGGAAGGAAGGAAGGAAGGAAGGAAGGAAGGAAGGAAGGAAAAGAAAGAAAGAGAGAAAGAGAGAAAGAGAGAGAGAAAGAGAGAAAGAGAGAGAGAAAGAGAGAAAGAGAGAGAGAAAGAAAAAGAAAGAAAGAAAGAAAGAAAGAAAGAAAGAAAGAAAGAAAGAAAGAAAGAAAGAAAGAAAGAAAGAAAGAAAGAAAGAAAGAAAGAAAGAAAGAAAGAAAGAGAGACGCAGGACATACCTCCGTGGCCCCACTTCTCTGAGGCTTACTTTTCTCCGAAAATGGGAAGAATAGCATGGCTGGACTTGCCTTTCTCTAGTCCCAGCCTTTGGAATAGCAGCACCTACCTGGAGGTGCTCACGTGAGATTTAAGTGAGATAAAGCACGTAAAGTGCTTCACGCAGTGCCCAGCCCATCAATGAATTCTCCAAACAAATGGTACAAAGTGGTGCAGGCTTGCAACGCTGCCACTAGGGGGCAGATGCTCTCTCCAAACACCACGCAGTAGCCCTTTGCAGTGAACCAAGCAGCCCGTCATCATTCCTCTGGGATCCCTAAGTCCCCGGTCCCCGTGGCTGCACGAATCATGATGCCACGCCTTTGTTAGGGCAGGCTCTTCCACCTGGAGTGCCCATCCCTCCCAGCGGAAGTCCTAATTATTAGGAGATAACCACAAAGGAAGGGGAGAGAAATGATGTCTCTGGCACTGACTTTGAGGCAGTTTGTGTTGGTGCCTCGCAAGGACCCTAGCAGCGAGAATGTGTTGCCCCCATTTGACAGACGCAGAAACTAAGGCTCAGAGAGGGTACAAACTAGTCATACAGCTAGTGGGTGGCTGAATTGGGAGCTGAGACCCAGTCCCTCTGCATCCAGGACACATGGCTTTTTTACCACGCAGAACAACTTTTAGGCACGAGCTGAGCCTCAGGCAGCAGAGCGGGGAGGAAGGGGATACAGAAGGCGGCTCAGGAGCGAGAGCCCCACCCAGGGCCCTCCAGCATTATGCCACGGCACCCTCCAGGTGCGCAGGAAAGGGGGCCCCACGCCCCCAGCTCCCTGGGCCACCGGGAATGGAACAGACTTCAGGCAGCTGTTACCGCCATGAGAGCCCTGTGACCCTCCTCTAGAGACTCCAGGCTCCGGTGGACGGCCTGGCTCATCTGGGAGAATGCCTCGAGGCGCTTCTGCGTGTCCTGGCTGGCTGTGAAGAGCTTCCCGTAGTGCTTCACCATGGCCTCCACCAGAGCCTCCTCCGGCTCCTCCCATCCCGTGCAGCCTATGGAGACAGCGCCATGGCAGGATGGGTGGGTGCCCCTGCAATGGGCCATGCCAACAAGGTGGCCAGGAATTCCGTCTGGGACCACAAAGTTGAGAGGTGCAGGACAGTCCATGCCAGGCTGACCCCAAGACAGTAGGATGGTCCCGCAGCTCTCCAGGCTTGCCATCCATGCGCGCACCCCCACTCCCCACCCCCCAACCCCCCGCCCCACCACCTCCACTTCAAAGGAAGCCTCAACCTTGGAAAGTTCAGCCAGAGACTGAGACAGGGATTCTGGATCGAGACTACCGAGCGAGGCAGGAGACTGCCCTCAAGGAGACGTTGCTGCTTGGGGGAGCCTGAGAAGGGGACAGGAATTGTTCCTGTCCTGGGTGAGCAAGTACCAAGTCCTGATGGTTATGCATTTTGGATGAGTTGAACAGGCAAAACTGCTGAATTTGGAAGGTCCCAAACCACGAGCAGCACTGGGTGCTGGGTCTGCCGCAAGCCCCTCGCTTGACCTGCAGCCCTGACTCCTCCTTGGCTCACTACTCAGTATATATCCCCAGCCTCCCAGCCACATCTCCCAGCAGCCCAGAGCTCACCACCCCCAAACCCACCTGGCAGCCCTGTGGCTGCTGCCTACGTTTGTGTCCCTCCCTCTGCCTGCAGGGTCATTCTCCCTTGCTACACCCATTTGAGCCCCATGAAAGGTCACCTCCTCCGTGAAGCCTTCCCTGACCTCCAAGGCAGAGGTTTTGGAGTTTCCATAACTCCTCTCATTCTAGCACTTAGTACAGTGGCTATGAAGTCAGATGGACCAGAGTCTGAGCCCAGCACCACCACTTCCTGACTGGGCGACCCTGGGCAAGTTCATTACCCTCTCTGGGCCTGAGTAACACAGTACTGCAAAGCTCATAGGAGGGGTATAAAAAGATTTACTAAAAAGCTTAGCACAGGGCACATATTTAATAAATGGTAATAATTATGTATTATTGATGGTGTTGAAATAATAATGATGACAACAAATATGTGTGACTCCCCTTCCCTTTTCTAATGAGTTTTCAGCACTCATAAAACAACACACGAAACCTCATCTCAGATGTCCTTATACTCTTAGTTAATAATAGCAAAACAAAAACACAAATCCAAAGACAAACAAAATAATAATAATAATGGCCAATGTTTACCAGGTACTAGCTATATGCGGGGCCCTGTGCTATGCTTATAAAGGATGACTTCATCTAGTCCACATAACTATTGCTCTTCCCATTGTACAGATAAGAAAATCAAGGCCTTGAGAACTTGCCAGAGGCCACACTGTTAACGACAGTGGAGCCAGGGTTGGGACCAAGCAGTCAGACTCGGCTGCCTGCACCCTTCCCCACCACTGTGGGGTTGGCCTTTGTGGGTTCCCATTCTGTAGATGGGCAGCTCGCAGCCCCATGAGGCCACACACTGTGTGACAGTCCTGCAGCCAGGAGGCGGCTGCGGAGAGAAAGAGCTTCCCGAGGAAGCTGCGTACATACCCTCGGGGATTTTCTCAAGGACCTTAATCAGATAGTCTTCAAAAAGCTTGTGCTTCTCCACTTCTCTCTTGAGCTTCTTCTGCCTGTAGAGCCAGATGCAAGAACATGGCCTGGAGGCTCCCAGGTCATAGGACCCCCTATGAACAAACCTGGGCCACCCTCTGTGATCTCCTGCTTGGACCTGCCCTGGGCCGGCCACGTACCACTTTATCAGTTGGCCATAGACTTAGGAGTCTCTCCACCTTCATTTCATTGCTGAGCAAACTGAGCCACAAGCAGGTCAAATAAATGCCCACAGCAGCATCTCCTAGGCAGCGAAGAAGGTGCCTAGACTTGAAGGCCAAGTCTTTCTGGCCAGAGTCTACGATGCCTCCTCTGGAGGCTGTGCAGGTGCCTCCCATCTCGGGAGACAGGCCAGCACCTACTAGCTGGTGATGTTGGACCAAGTGCTTCACCTCTTTGTGCCTGGGTAGCCCATCTACAGCAGGGGTGATGTGAGCTGCTGACCAGGGTCATGCGTGGGGCGCCAAGTGTATTGGGAGCGTTCCATCAGAGGTGGGTTCCCCACCAATCCTGGAGGGGAGAGGGCCACTTGCTATTGCCTGGCCATACTTGACTCTTCGGGGAATCCCTAAGCAAGTCTCCAACAGGTCACCTGTTCTGGACCCAGCCAAGGTCAGCAGTCAAGCGCAGAGACCAGAGCAGGGCGTGGCCTGGCCAGCTGGCTGAGCTCCCAACCCATTCTCTGGCTATCCAACAGGGGCTGTGCTGGGGGTCTCTGAGTGGCCCAGGGCAAGCCACTCTGCCTCTGTGGGCCCCCCTTTCTCATCCATATGGTTCTGAAAAGTGCAGAACAATATCATCCTTCCCACAGATACCACATGGGGCCTTGTGAGCCATGACGGTGCTAAACCTTATTGGAATCAGGAAGCCCTCAAAATCTGTTGGAATGGTTGGCCCTTCATAAAACTTTGCAGAGACACGTCCTTTTGCATCTAATTCAGGTTTTTGTGTGTAGTCTGAAATTTCATCTCCCCAACCTCCCATCCTCATGGGGTGAGGACCCAGGGTCCCCGCTAAGAGTCAAGGCGGCAATCTTGTAGACTGGCCTTAGAGGGGCCGAGTGGACAAGTGCAGACGGATGGTTACCCACAGTCCTCCTTCCTGATGTAGAGGCCCAGCCAGCAGAGCGCCCAGGACTGGCCCAAGATCTGAGGCCAAAGGGCAATAGCCACACCTCTTCTCTCTCCCATCACAGCTGTCGCCCAGCCCTGCCCCATCCATTTGCTTCCAGACCACACTGCCCTCTTCATCCACCCCCTGTCCTGGCCTCCTCAGGGACATGTTTGCTCAGTCCAGCCACTTAGCCCACCAGGAAGGCATTGGGGCTGGGGCTGGGGCAGGGCTGGCACAATGCGTACTTAGCCTGGAGCTGGTAGAGTTCCTGCCACAGCCCTTGAAGATCCTCTTCCTTGTCACCAGGATTGCTTGGGCCAGCTCTCTGGCCTGTGTCCATGGCTGCCATCACCCCACTGCCACAAGCCACGCAGGAGGACAGGAGCCACGTGAGCCAGGCAGGATGAAGACAGACCAAAAAGGAACAGTCACAACTGCAGCTTCTTCTTCGGATCCTCGGAAGCCAGGGTTAGCATCCCCACCTCACAGAAAAGGAGACAGAGGTTCAGAGAGGGGCTATGACCAGTTCAAGGTCATCTGGCAGGACTGGATGAGGACCCAGGGCTCATTAAATCCCAAGTCCAAGGTCTTCGGGCTGCATCCCCAGCTCTGGAGAGGTTGAGGGTGCCATTCTGTAGGGGCCTTGTTTCCCTTGCAGCCCTATAACTGGTACAGCCCCATCACCCCCAAGTCTTCAGTTCCTGGCCACCAAGATGCCTGGGAACTTTCAATAAGTGCTGGCTTCCAACAAATTCTGGAAGGAGTCATAGGGTCAGAGCCTGAGCTGGTTCGGAAAACAGCCTGCTTAGGGAGGAGGCAGCTTCATTATCATCTCTGCCCACCCACCCCCATCCACGCATTTATTCACTTAACCAACATTACATGCTCTGAGCTCGTACAGTGCTTGCAGAACTACAGTGGAGACTAAGCAGAGATGCTTCGAACAAGCTCATGGTCAAGCTGGAAAGATGGTCTAGTTACAAGTAGCTTCAACACAGCCTTGCAAACAGTTCCTGGGCCACTCGCCCAAGGCTGGTACGAAAGCATGACCCTCATTGGTCAACTGCTGAACCAGCCCAGTGCGTTGAGGAGAGAAGGTGAGGGGCTACAAAGTCAACCTTTCTAGGCCTAAGCATCAAACACAGGTAGACAGGCACTATAGGAGGAAGGGGCCTAGCTGACTCACCTACAGCTCCAGGAGCACAAAGCCACAGCCAGGCTGTGACATCACAATGCTGGCTTCTGTCCTCATGATGTGTCCATTGCAGGATCCACCTGTGGAGGGCCAGATTCTCCATGGTCCTAAAACCTCCCACCCCCACCGCCCAGTCCCGTTCCCAAGAAGATGGGGAGGAAGGGCATTGGCAAACCCATGGGAAACTTGGGCTATTTTTGTCCTTTCTATCCAGGCTGGTCTGCTTTATGGGCTGCCCAATTCCCATTGGCCTGTCCTGGGACTCTCCCTCGACCCCATCCCACCTGAGTTTGGTGGCTGCAGCTCAGGCATTTCCCCATCAGCCACCCAAGGCTCAGCCCCCCAAGGCTCAGCCCCACCCATGGCTCAGGACCAGGGCTGGCTCCGTGCAGGGGGTGGGAGCAAGCTGAAGGACCCACGTCTGGGAACTGCCCCTGCCTATGGCTTGGCCCTGAACCTCCTGTTGGAGCTACTGGACCTGTGCCACCAGGGACGGTGGGGTGGAGAGGGCTGGGCCTCATGCCCACCCTGACATCCCACCCCCACCACACTCACCACCATGCTGGCTGGCCTGGCCTTCCCTCTCAAAGGCTTCCATTGGCTCAGAGCTGGGTCACCTCAGATGACTCCTGGGAAGTCACAGCTCAGTGTGGGCTCCACTTGGGAGGAATGCTGTGGGTAGGAAAGGTCCCCAGAGAGGGTGAAGGAGGTAGGAGCCAGGGCAGGGCCTGAGCTGGAGAAGGGGCCAGGAATGAGGGAGGGGCTGGGGTCCATTCGGGGGCAGAGCAAGGGCTGGGGTTTCAGGTCTGTGGCTGGAGTTGGGGCAAGGCTGGAGCAAGATCTGGATCAAAGGCTGGGGCTGGGGCCAGGGTCGGGGCTGGGCTGGGGGCAGGAGCAGGGATTTGGACTCATCCCCTTCACGACCCCTCACCAGCAGGCAGTGAGATCAGCCCCTGCCAGCTCAGGAGTCCCTGACAGGTGCCCGGGGCTACCTCCCCATGGTCCTAGAGCCCCTTGCTTATATGCTGAGCACCGACTGAGAATGAAGGTGAAGGGTCCTGGCTCTGGCCTTGGGTTCAGACTCAGAAGGGAGGTGGATGCAGGTGTGGGCGGCATGGATGCAGAGGGAGAGGAGCTCAGGGGCTGGGGTTGCCCAGAGAAGGAGTCGGCCCAGTTCGAGGAGGAGTGGGGGAGTCCCCCAGAATCGGCAGTGTCCGAGGTGTTTCACGAGGATAAGAATGAGAGGAGAAGGTGGGAAGGGCATTCTGGCAGAAGGAATGGCAGGGACAAAGGTTCGGAGGCACAGAATAGCTTACACAGCCTGTGTGAACCGTAGGCAGAGCCTTCAAAGCAGAAGGGGGCTATCAGGGTGGGAGTGGTTTGGACCGTGGCTGGTGAAGTTGTTGGCAGGAGCCAAAGGGTATCAGCCAGCAGCAGAGACTGCCTGGGTTACTCTGGGCAAGGAGGGATGCACAGGAGGCTGTAGGCAGGCACAGAATCAGAAGAAATGCTGAAAATCCAGCTGCAAATCCAGAGAGGACAGCGGCCCAGGGCAGCCCTGGAGATCCACGCAGCAGGAACTCAGGGAGGCGCTCCCAGAATGAATCCTTCCCAACCCCTTTTCATCATCTCCTCCGTTCTCAAGAATCAAGAGAGGGTGCCCAATTGGCTGAGCCTGGGCCATGTGCCCACCCCTTGGCTTGACTGACACTCATATCCTAAGAGCCTGCCGTGGGGCCCAGAAGTTTCCCAGTGCAAACCCTGGCGCTGTTCCCAGGGAATCAGGACAGCTGAGCAACAGAACCCACAGGTGCTCCTCCGTGGAGGCTCAGGGACAACTGGACTGCATCCCCAGCTCTGGAGAGGTTGAGGGTACCACTCTGTAGGGGCCTTGTTTTGCTTGCAACCCTATAACTGGTACAGCCCCATCACCCCCAAGTCTTCAGTTCCTGGCCACCAAGATGCCTGGGAACTTTCAACAAGTGCTGGCTTCTAACAAATTCTGGAAAGAGTCACAGGGTCAGAGCCGGAGCTGGTTCAGAAAGCAGCCTGCTTAAGGAGGAGGCAGCTTCTTCACCATCTCTGCCCACTCAGAAATGTTCAGAGCATTTCTGAGCATGCTCTCTGGCTCAGAGTAGGGGTGAGGCCGGCTGCGTGGCAGCGGGAGTGACTCATGTTTGTGTGGCACAGGTCTAAGCACTTCCATGCCGGGGTTCATTCATCTTCATGACACACTGAGGTCAAAGCTATTATTTCACAGAGGGCAACACTGAGGCCCAGAGAGGCTAAGTAACTTGCCCAAAAATCTCACTGTTAGAAAATAGTTCCGATATTAATCCAGAAAGTCAAGATCCAGAACCATCTGGGAGGTTGAGTTGTTAGGACCTTGAAGCTGATTGATAGGGGATCCTACAGCAGGAGGCTGTTCTTGGGAAAGACTCCATTAGCACCTCTGGGTATGGGACCTTCACTGGGGACAGGCAGACCACTGACCCTCTTCTGGCCAGAAGCAGATGCTGGAGAAGGCGTGCCAGACCCTCGTCCCTTCCCACGCTCAAACATTCCAGGACTTTACTTCCCAGAAGTTAAAGTCTGTAAACCACTTGACCCCATACAGCCATAGGTGGGGGGGGGGGAAGGTAGGTTTGGAGTGGGGATGGTGGCACTATTTGCTTTTCAGTGACAATTGCATTTTTGGCCTGAAGTGTCCCATAGGTGCTGAGAGAGCACAATAGACAAGGCTGGCAGAGGCTGCGGCTCCTTGGGAGACGTTTCTCCCGCTCAGGCCCCTAGAGAGTGACTGTCACAAGCACCAGGAATTGAGTCCTGTCACGGATTCACCACTGCCTGACTCTTTACTGGGAGTCTCTCGTTTCATTCTCGGAACAGTCCTCTAGGGTGGTGGTAGCACTGCTCCGTTTTGCAGACGAGAAAACTGAGTCTATGAGGCGAAGTAACTTGCCCAAGGATACACAGTTAACACAAGGTAACAGGGTTGGCTACACAGTTTGTGGGGCTCAGTACAAAATGAAAACGCTGGGCTTCTTGCTAAAAAATTATTAAGAATTTCAAGATGCAATAGCAGAAGATAAAGCCAAATGTGGACTCTTGTGAGTACAGATCCTGCATAACTGCATACGCCCCTCACTGGGATTTGGACCCAGGTCCAGGGATTCTAGACCTAGTTATTCTCCATTCTGCTCCTTAAAACCCACCAGCCTGCCTCAGACGCCTCTTCACCACCCTGGTTCTTCCTCTTCTTCCTTGCCCTTCCCCAGCCTCACCCAACCAGCAGACCCCACCCTTCCCTAATTAGGGGAAGACTCAAGCACTTACATGGAGGTGAAAGGAACTTAAGAAAAGAAATGATCAAGGCAGAGAGACAGGAGCTGCCATGGTTACACAGCGGTGAGGGCACAGGTCTCCCAACTCCCAGACTAGCCTCTACCCAGGGCCTTGGGCAAGAGAAATCCAAGGCAAGTCTGTCTGTTACAGACAGCTGGGAATCTTGGGAGCTGGGAACCTGCTTCAAGGACAAAACTGCAATTAAATGGCAATAGAACCCCTTTTCTTTTCTTTTCTTTTTTTTTTTTTTTTTGAGACGGAGTCTCGCTCTGTCACCCAGGCTGGAGTGCAGTGGCCGGATCTCAGCTCACTGCAAGCTCCACCTCCCGGGTTTATGCCATTCTCCTGCCTCAGCCTCCTGAGTAGCTGGGACTACAGGCGCCCGCCACCACACCCAGCTAGTTTTTTGTATTTTTTTGTAGAGATGGGGTTTCTCCGTGTTAGCCAGGATGGTCTCCATCTCCTGACCTCGTGATCTGCCCGTCTCGGCCCCTCAAAGTGCTGGGATTACAGGCTTGAGCCACCGCGCCCGGCCAGAACCCCTTTTCAAAAACCTTAACAAGGACTCCTGGGGCTGGAATCTGCCACCAGGCTTGGGTCACCAGGCACAGCAGAAGGAAGGGCCTGATCAGGCCTTCTGCAGAATTCACCCCATCTGGTCTACAACCCCAAATGCCCCCAGACAGGGCCAAGGCCAGCCCTTCCTCAGCCACTGACGCTCAGGATGCAGAGTGGGGCTGTGGGTTGAGGCAGGGCTACCAGCTGTGTGGCCTCAGGAAAAGCACTGACCTCTCTAAGCTTCAGTTTCCTGAAAGGTAAAGTATGGGTAATAGCACCTAGGGATTAAATGAGATAATCCATGTAGAACACTTAGCATCTTCTCGTTTTTGTGAAATTAACCCAAGTGTGCATAGGAGGAAGTCTAGAAAGATATAAATGAACATTTTATGTCTTAGGGGCAGGGAAAAGGGGCAAGTTTTAAACTAGCACAACTCTTTAAGAGAGTTCTGACCCTTTAGGAAAGCAAGCAGCCCAGAGCTGACCCGTCGTAGGGATTCGATGGACGTTAGTTTTGTTTCCTGCCCATCTCTTCTCTTTCCGTCCAGAGGATCACAATGGCCTGATCTCCTAACACAAGAGCACAGGAGCTTCGACAGAGGTTGCTGGGGTTGGCTGGCAAAGGTGGCTCTGGTGGGAAGGGGTGAGAGGGTGCAAGGAAGACAAACTTGGCCTGTTGATTAGGCCAGAATTTTACTAAGAGCTGGCACGACATAACTCCTCCCCCATTGAGACAGAATCTCAGCAGTCTACCTCTGTCCCCTCCTTCCATTTCTGGCACAAGAGGTAAACCCAGGGCATCCTGGGCCCAGGAAGCTGTGCTGGGGCCCCGCCTCCTCTGAGGCCCCCAGCCTGGCCCAGCACCCACTTCCCTGCGCCCCTAACCTCATCTTTGCTCTGCACCAGGAAAAGCTCCAGGTCCCAGAGCTGGGGAATCACCCAAGCAGGTCCTAGGACACTGCGAGGCTGTCTCCAGCTCAGTACTCCCAAGACAGGGCCTTCCCATGGGAGAGGACGGAGGCTCTGGTCATGGTCCCAGGGGCCACAGTGGAGATCTGGGCCTTCCGGTGTCTATGATACTGACATCCTGCCACCCCTCACCTCCATAGAGTAGCTCTTAGGAGACGCCCTCCCAAGAGGCAGTGTGGGAAGGGGCTGCTCTGACCAGAGGGAGCCAGGGCTGAGGGGCAATCATCAGCTGTTTTCTCTCGTCCCAGAACCGCCACCTTCCTAGGAAGAATCACTGAGGTGTGACCACAGAATGAGTTTACGGACCCTGCAGGCCTGGGTTCAAGTCATGCCCCTCCATGCCACCTTGTCACCTCCTGCTATGAACCTCTTGGTTGAGGTTGGCCCGGCAAGGCTGTTAACTCTGCCTCCAAAATCTTTGGAATCTCCTCACTTCTCTTCACTGGCCCACGCTTGTTCCACCTGGAGCAAGCACTGGCTTTCCCTGCTGTTCTCTCTGCTCCTATCCCCTGCAGGCTACTCTCCACCTGGCAGCCAGAGAGAGCTTGTCTTAAAGCAAAAACCAGATCTCCCCCATTTCCCTGCCAAAACCAGTGATGTTCAGGTCAACAGTGAGTGGGAGAAAAGCCAAGATTTATGGCATCCATCAATTTCTGTAGTGTCAATCCTCCCGCCATGGCCGATTTCAAGCTACTAATAATTTAACAACCGGTTTGCAAAATGCCTGAAGACTTAACAGTGGCTCTTATGAGCTGGTCTGAGCTGGCTGCAGCACACCACCACTTTAAAAAGTGACAGATGAAGTTCACGTCCTGGCTGACGAGGCTCCAAATGCTCTGGCTCCCCCTTGCCCATTCTTCTCCCAGTGGCTTTTCTGTTCTTCCTGGCCGAGGGCCGTTGCACCTGTGCTTCCCTCGGCCTGGAGCACAAGTCTCTAAACTCTTTATAGTCCTCTCTCCCTCTGGTCTTCCAGATCCCAGCTCAGAACCCACCTCCTCAGAGTGGCCTTCCCTGACCATCTCAGGTCCCCCGACCCACCTTACTCCGGGTGACCTCACCCCTGTGTGGCTCTATTTTAGCACTCCTTACTGTGGATTTTCTCCCTCCTCACTGGAATGTGATCTCCATGAGGTCAAGGACTGGGACCAAATTGTCCCTGCTTGAGTATCAGTGTCTAGAAGGATAGTACTGGACACACAGCAGGCGCTCAATAGATGTATGCATAGAAACAGAGCTTTGGAGATGCCCGGCTTTGGGTTTGAGTCACAACTCTCCCACCAACCACCTATGTAACTGTCATGAATCACTCAATCTCTTTGAGCCTCTGTTTCCTCATCTGTAAGTGGGGGACAACAACAGTGCCTGTGTGATGGAGCTGTGAGGACCTGATGATGACACAGGTAAGGCACTCAGCACAGTGTCTGTCCTACCAGGACCTCAGTCAATGAGAACGGCCTCTTCACTTCCTATATTCAGTGATGGGCAGCTCATCCCCTCCCAAGGGAGCCTCCTCATCCACCTCTGGGTCACTGTGACCACTAGAACATCTGCCCTTTCTTGTGTTGAATGCAAATAAGTCTCTTCCAGTGTCCCCTGCCTCAGTCCTAGTTTAACAACTTCCCACACGGCAAGTGTCTTGCTATTAAAACCACTTTCTTAATGTTGGCATGAAGGTTGATGGAATCGTGTTTCAGGATGAAAGGAACACTAAGGGCAGGTCAGGCATCCCTTGGCAGCTCTCATCAGTCATGAGCTATCTGGCCTTGGGCAAGTGCCTCACCCTCACCCAGCCTCAGTTTCTTCCTCCATGAAATGAGATTAGCAATAGTACCTACCTCCTTGGGCTGCTGTGGAGATGAAATTAGCTGGTGTACATAAAGCACTCAGCATCTAGCTCAAAGAAAGTGCTCAAAAGACGTCACTATTGTCACTATTACCATGCCTGGTGCAGGCCCACAGCCAGATCTAGTGTCTGTGGCCTTTTTCTGCCCCAAAGGCCAGGCCTCTCCTGAATGTTCTCCAGCCAAGCTGGAGAAAGAGCCAGTTCTGGCTCACCCACCTCAATCTGCACCCCGATCTGTCAGAGCTGCCCCCTCACAGTCCACAAGAGGGTGACTCGGAGCTTCCAAAATCTCCCATGGGACTACCTGACCCTGGGCAGTCATTCTATCTACTGGGCTTGGAAGGAGATGCCCCCAGCTCCTGGAAAATAAGCTGGCCTGGAGTGGGAACTAAGAGTGGCTCAGTCCACTCCGTGCTGGGGTGGCTTCTGCCAGCTCCCTGGGTGGCCTAGACCAGCCCTCTTTCTTATCTTTTTTTGATGGATTCCTGATGTTCTTAAAAATGCTGATAGTGGCCGGGCACGGTGGCTCAAGCCTGTAATCCCAGCACTTTGGGAGGCCGAGATGGGTGGATCACGAGGTCAAGAGATCGAGACCATCCTGGCTAACACGGTGAAACCCCGTTTCTACTAAAAAAATACAAAAAACTAGCCAGGCGAGGTGGCGGGCGCCTGTAGTCCCAGCTACTCGGGAGGCTGAGGCAGGAGAATGGTGTGAACCCAAGAGGCGGAGCTTGCAGTGAGCTGAGATCCGGCCACTGCGCTCCAGCCTGGCCGACAGAGCAAGACTCCGTCTCAAAAAAAAAAAAAAAAAAAAAAAAAAAAATGCTGATGGTGGTAGGAGAACACGGCTGAGGAGATCACGTAGGAGCTGAAGTGAGGAAGGAGGAGGACCAGGAGAGTGGTATTCCGAAAGCCGAGAAGGAAACAGACCGGAGAGTGTCCAGGAAAGAAACAGATCTAAGATGCCACCAGGATTCCCCTGAGTCCCTGGGGCTGTGAATGTGGTGAACAGTCACATCTATGATCATGTCACCTTTCATGGCAATGGGGATTTTGTAGATGTTGTTTACCAATCAATTGACTTTGAACTAGGAAGATTGCCTATGGGTCTAACTGATTACACAAGCCCTTTAAAAGCAGAGTATTTTCTCTGTGGCTGGTAGAAGAGGAAGTCAGAGATTGGGTGGGTGGGAGGGATTCAATGGGAACAGAGAACAGAGGTTCTCATTGCTGAGATGGCAGGGGTCATAGGGCAAAGACCGGAGAAGCCACTAGGAGCTAAGAACAGGTCCCCACCAGCAGTCAGAAAGGAAACAGGGACCTCAGGCCCATTCCCATTCCCTCCTCCTATCCCATCTCCCACCCCCTCTCCCATCCCCTATCCCACCCCCTCTCCTATCCCCTCCTCCTAACCCCTCTCCCATCTCCTCCTCCCATCCCCTCCTCCCATCCTCTCCTCCCATCTCCTCCTCCCATCTACTCTCCTCATCCCCTCCTCCCATCCCCTCCTCCCTTTCCCTCCTTCCATCCTTTCCTCCAACCCTCTCCTCCTATCCCCTCTTCCCATTCCCTCCTCCCATCCCCTCCTTCCATCCTCTCCTCCCATCTCCTCCTCCCATCTACTCTTCTCATCCCCTTCTCCCATCCCCTCCTCCCTTTCCCTCCTCCCATCCCCTCCTCCCATCCTCTCCTCCCATCTCCTCCTCCCAACTACTCTTCTCATCCCCTCCTCCCATCCCCTCCTCCCTTTCCCTCCTCCCCTGTCGGGCCCCACCCCTCCTCTCACTCCTCCTTCCAGATGCCCCCACCCCCCTACTGTTTCTGCCTGGCCCCTCCCCTCCCCCACTCCCTCCTTTCCACCTCCCTCCCACTCTGTCCTCCCTGAGGCTGTACCTCCTGTGGGTAGGAAGTGTATATTGCAGGAGCTGACACTGCTTCTGGCACTTAGCAGGGTTCGTGGCATTTAATTTGTGCCTTGAAGATAAAAATAATAATAGTTCCACTTATTGGGCACTCGCCTCCTGCAGCCCCTGTCACGGACTTGCTGGAGTGTTACCTCTTTGAAGCCTCACTGCTGCCTGTGAGGAAGCTGCTGCTGTCCTGACTCCTGCGTCACAGGTGAGGACCTGGGGCTGCCCGCCTCCAGAGAGTGGAGGGAAGAGGGAGGGAGCCAGGCTGCTGGACCAGCGCCCACACCAACCCCACGCCAGCCGCTCCCAGGGCCCACACGGCCCAAGGGAAAGGGCATTCCAAGCCCAAAAGGGTTCAACAGGCCAGACACGGATGGACAGACGGTGGGGCAGAGGGAGAGCCATGAGGAAGAGGAGGCTGTGCAAGTCGTCTGGGGCTGACCACAGAGGCCACAGAGGCCCTACCAAGATCTGGCAAAATGCAGTCACCTGTAGCCTGCTTTCATTCTCTCCAGGCCAGCCTTTCCCAAAACGCGATGCAGCAGCCCTCGGGTTGAACAGAAAACAGACCTCTGGGCACTGCAGCCTGGAGATCATCTGAAGGCCTCTGCAGTCCTTTCCTGGGACATGTGGCACAGCAGACATTTGATCCCACTGGGCCAGGCAATGCTGTTAAATATAAAGCCAGAGCCCCTGAGGGCAGGGCAAAGACAGAGAGGCCAGCTGGACCGCCAGGAGGGCTATGGGCAGGCCATGCACCAGCATCCAGTCAGCACTCGTCCCAGGAGCCCGGGGCTGGCAAGTGCCCTGTGGGCTGCAGGGCACCCTTGGGGCACAGCCCTGGCTGTTGATGTGACTGCCCAGGTCACACGCTCTTCAGGAGCCAGGCCAAGAGCTATGACAGTGCAGTTTGGAGGGGATGTGGCCGGCTTCAGTGGCACCAGGAAAGGTAGGAAGTAAGGGAGAAAGGGCAAGGAAAGAGAAAAATCTGGACCCTGCATTAACGGACTGAACCTAGAAACATGTTTTGAAGTCTCTGTGCTTCCATCTCCTTAGCTGTGAAGTGGAGATGGCCACTTTGGACCATGAGAAATATCAATATCAAATGCCCTTTCTTTTCATGCCCTCACCTTCTTCACCCAGTGTCAGCTCATACCAGGGGGCCCTGAGCTTCCTGGAAGGTCACCTTACCGGGTGTGTACAAGACCATGCATGTGCACGAGTGTGTATGAGAGTACCTGTGTGCACAAAGATTGGCAGCAAACATGTATGTTAATTGAATTCTTTTTTTTTTTTTTTTTTTGAGACAGGGTCTCGCTCTGTTGCCCAGGCTGGAGTGCAGTGGCACAATTTCAGCTCACTGCAACCTCCACCTCCTGAGCTCAAGTGATCCTCCCACCTCAGCCTCCTGAGTAGCTGGGACTACAGGTACACGCCACCATGCCTAGCTAATTTTTGTATTTTTTGTAGAGATGGAGTTTCACCAGGTTGCTCAGGCTGGTCTCAAACTCTGTCTGCCTCGGCCTCCCAAAGTGCTGGGATTATAGATGTGAGCCACCAGGCCCAGAGGCTGAATTTTATCCAACAACCAATTATTTTGAAATGATATGGGACAGGAAGTTGCATCCCAGGATTCACAAACTCTTCCAAAATAATTATCCCATTTTTTATTTCTGTTTTTGAAAATATTTAGGTACACTTGATTTAAATTACAACTGACTTATGATTAGAATTTTTGTTCTCAGAGAAAAAAGATTGGTAGATGCAGCAACTTCCAGTTGCTCATCTGGTGTCAGAGGCACTCAGAGGGTGGAAGGGCTTGTATTCCTACAAGCTCCACAGTGCACTCCCTTCCTCCATTTCTCAGGGATCTGCAGAGGGGAAAGGTTTGCATAGGGTCAGAACTTTCCAGAAGGGTGAAGAGCAGCACACTGGTGGTTAGGCTCAAGTTCTTTCCAATGTGTGAGGTGCCTCACATGCCTGCAGAGTTGTTAGTTTACACATCTCACATGTGCTCATACGTGCACACACTGGGGCATCCACACACGCACCTGCACACATGTGCACCAAGAAAGAGATGGAGTGCTGTATTTGTAGAAAACAGGAGACTTCAACAGGTACTTAACATTTTTATAAGACTCGTTTGGCTGGGTGTGGTGGCTCACGTCTGTAATCTCAGCACTTTGGGAGGCTGAGGCGGGCAGATTACCTGAGGTCCGGTGTTTGAGACCACCCTGGCCAAGATGGTGAAATCCTGTCTCTACTAAAAATACAAAATTTAGCTGGGTGTGGTGGCAGATGTCTGTAATTCCAGATACTCAGGAGGCTGAGGCAGGAGAATCGCTTGAACCTGGGAGGCAGAGGTTGCATTGAGCCAAGATCACACCACTGCACTTCAGCCTGGGCAACAGAGCAAGATTCTGTCTCAAAAAAAAGACTACTTCATTTGTCCACTGTTGTACTAACTCTTCACTTAAATAGTGTAAACTATGTGTGTGTGGTGTGCTGTCAGCTAAGCACCATCTGTGTGTGTGTGTGTGTGTGTGTGTGTGTGTGTCTGAATGCACCAGCTACAAGCAGGGCTGAGACTTGCCTAGGACTCCCCTTTCCTGCTTGAAGGAGGACCCCAACCTGCACGTGGTCACTATGGCTGTTCTTTCTGTGCTGCTCAAACCACAGCCACATGTTCCCCTGCTGGTGGCCTTCAGAACTGGTTTACGAGCCCCATTCAGTGAATCATCCCATTATATAACAGTCACAAGGCGCTGGAAATCCGCTCAGTTCTCCTGGTGGCAGCTATTCCCGAAATCCAAAGCTGCCTCTTTGTCAGCTTGGCCCAGGCCCCGTTCCACTCCCTAAGAGCCACTTCCCACTGCCCCTGCTCTTCAGCCAGGCTTCCTCCCCATGGCACTGTGGACGTTTGGGCCCTAATTCTATGGGGTGGTGGGGGGGGACAGGCATGGGTTCTGCCCGGTGCATTGCAGGATGTTTAGCAGCATCCCTGGCCTCTGCCCACTAGATGCCAAGAACATCCTCCCCTTTCCCCCAAGTTGTGGCAACCCAAAATGTCTTCAGGAATTGTCCCCAGTTAAGAACCACTGTCTCCAGCTGACCACCATCCCCTCTGTCTCCGTCAGCAAGTTTAAGCTAATAACAACCTCTAACATTTATAAGTCTTTATTCTAAGGGATATATACATATACGAATATGAACATACATATATGGATGTATACATATATGAATACTATATATAAATTATATATAACTTGTATTGTATACTATGTATATATTATATTAATATATACACATATTGTATATATATGAGTGTATACATATACAATACACATACACATATATATACACAGAATGTTTGGGGGTGCTATGTCATAAAATCTTTGCAAACTTCCTGTGAGCTATGGATATTATTCTCCTCCTCCCTGCAATGTGTATCAGGAAACCAAGGCAGAGAAGTTAAGTAGGCTCTCTAAGGTCACACAGCTAGCAAGCGGTTGCGCTGGCAGATGACTCCAGAGTCTAGGCTCTCAGCCACTGGGTTCTGAAGAGGGATCTGGGGCAGTCACATTACCAGCGAGTCTGTGCTGGGAGTGGCCCTCAGTCTGATCTCCTGTGGCTGGGAACAATGAGGCACAATGATATTGACACCCGAGTTGCCTGGGCTTGAAGCCCCTGGCTGCTTCCTGAGGTTTGTGATCCATTGCAAACCACAGCCTCCTCACCCCTAGGCATTTCTGGGAGTCTCCAGGAGGTAGCAGGCATCTTGAATGTGCCCATGAGGAAGTCCAGCCTGCCATCTGGGCTCAACCTTCTCCAGTGTGGTGAGGTTCCTGCCAATGTGCCCCACAACCTGAATGGAAGGTCTATGGCCTGATGAGATTATCATGGGAGGAAGCTATGGAAAAGCTTCCAGACTTCCAGAAACCCATGGCTCCTACAAAGGCTTGACAAGCCCCTCTTGTTCTCCAGACTCGCTTCCCTTTTCCTCAGGAAAACAATGTTGGAACATGAACTGCAAGGAGCTCCCAGATCTGACATTCCTGGCTGTTCTGATCTTTCGGTCCTCTGCAGGATGGAGGCTGCGTGGCTGGAGATCCCACTGTCACTGAGTTCAGGCAAGTCCCATGGGGCCTCAGCTCCTCATCCGTAACATCAGGATGATAAAGCCTCCCTCACAGGATGGCTGTGCAAGTGCCCAGATCCCAGGAGAGGGCTGGTAAATGGGCGTTCCCTGCCCCATCCCTTCCTACCTGCAGGGAAAAGGAGAAGTGGCCCAGCTGCAGGTCATCAGGACCCTTGACCCAACCCTGCATCCCAGCCCTGCCTCACACCCAGAATGCCAGCCTTCCTCACCAAGGGTCTGGCTGACACCTCTGCGATGCTCACCACTGGTCACTTGGGATTCCCCGGTGATATGGTTTGGCTGTGTCCCCACCCAACTCTCATCTTTAATTGTAGTTCCCATAATCCCCAGGTGTCTTGGGAGGGACGGCGTGGAGATAATTGACTCATGGAGCAGCTTCCTCTGTCCTGTTCTCGTGATAGTGAGTTAGTTCTCACGAGATTTGATTGTTTTATAAAGGGCTTCTTTCTTCACTGGGCACTCATTCTCTCTCCTGCCATCATGTGAAGAGGGTCTTTTCTTCTCCTTCACCTTCCATCATGATTGTAAGATTCCTGAGGTCTCCCCAGCCATGCAGAACTGTGAGTCAATTAAACCTCTTTCCTTTATAAATTACCCAGTCAGGTATTCCTTCACAGAAGCGTGAGAATACACTAGTACACCTGGGGACTAGTACACCAAGGGTGAAAGGCGAAGCTGAGAGCAGTTACCTTCCAGCTGGAGGCACCCCCCACCCCCAACACAGGTGCCAAATGGGTAACAGCTGCCTGTCTGGAGCAGGTGAATCATTTTGCTCCCTGCGAGCTCAGGCTCCAGAATGGCTGAGCCAGGGACTATGTCCATGAGGCACCCTCCTTCCCATCTGCCAATCACAGTTGGTGCTGGAGGAGACTGGTCTGACCTCAGCTCTGCCCACATGGCCCGGAGCTGTTGCATCCAGCAGGATGTGTAGGGTCCGACCCAGCCACAGAGCATCCCAGGAGGCTAGGCTGCTGCACTCTAGCCTCCTGTGGGAGAGGCCTTTCCCCCCAGCCAAAGGGCAGCAGAGAGCTCCAGCTCATGGAAAACCTGTTCCCAGCAGCTAACTTGGGCCTGTGGGCCACTCCGGGTTTAATTTTGTCTGTGAGTTCCCAAGGGTGATTCAGGCAGGATGAGATTGAGCCCTGGAGGGGACCAAGTGACTTGGCTTGACAATAGAGCCAGTGGCCTCCAGGAGAGTGCAGCTCAAGTCCTGAAGACGGCAGGTGGGGAGGAAGAGGTATGATTAGTGGGTATCTACTGCTGAGTCCTGGGATCTCATTTAATCCCCTAACAACCATGGGAGACAGTCATCACTCCCCTAGTTTCAGAAGAGGAAGCTGAATCCAGAGAGTTGCAGGGCTGCAGCTGGGGACACACAGCATTCAAGGAACGGACTGGGATCATCTGACTCCGGTGCCCGGGCTGGAAACTGGATGGGGTGGTGCTAACGCGGATTGCACATGGGTGGCGTCTTCAATAAGGAAGACACCGTCTGCACGGG